GGATTTTTGACATTTTCTGTGAAAAATTAGGATTGGGTTAGGTGTTTGTAAGTCAGTCTCAATGCATAATAAATTGGTTTAGTTTCTCTTTATAAAATTGTGGTCACAAAGAATGTTGCTCATCTTGTTTGCTCTTGATCCCCGGGTGAGATTCTTTGGGAATTATAAGTATTCTGGAAATTAGGTAATATCTTAGTTCATTCAGATTCAAGAGAGCTGCTGTCCCCCTGGTTTATTCAGATTTGAAAGATGATAAATCTCATTGTAATTGAGGCAATTGAAAGAATATTGATCCATGTTGAGGACCGGGACTAAAAAAATATTGTTCCTTTTTAATCTTTTTTTGTTTCCTTCCAGAATGAGGATGGGATCTCAGGATGAAAATTCTCGAACACACTGAACTTTTCATATATTTCAAAGAAATATGTATAAAAAGTACATGTGAAAGATGCAGCTAATATTTGATCAAAGACATAAAATCTAAGTCTCCTTCAGTTAAACCCCACAACAAACACAAAACTTGAATTTCTTCAAAAAATATGGAAATAACAAACAAAAGTTTGATATATACATCTATCAGTTAACAATACCACTTCAGATCATATAATAATATTAACATTTATTCACTCGAAGTCATTAATGGAAATTATAAAATATTTTTCTTTGATGGCAAAATGAAACTTTGGTCTTTAGCTTATTTGTGACTTATACTGTGGCTGGAAATTTACTTGTAATTGCAACATGTGGCATTCAGGTTTTTGGCAATGATATTGAATTGTTGACAAATTGACTGGGCATGTTACTTATTACTGTTTACAGTATTTGCAGAATTCAGTTCCAGTCTGGTCAGCTGTGAAATTGTCTGCCGTACTAATGGATGATAAGGGAATGAAAAATTCACCTATCTTGTTTGCATATTTGGCATTTTAACAGATGCAATCATCCAGGTTCCTGGTTTTTGCATTGGGAATTTCTTTTAGCAAAGGCAAGACTCAGTGAAAAAATGTGATACAGAAGCAATCAAGCAACTTGTTTCTGCTAAAAAAATGTTTGTGATATTTCATTCACAGAATGGTAGAGGTTAATTATTTCCCAAGCAGGCTATTGTTATAGCTCTGCCTCAGTTGCCCTGGAAAGAAATGCGACTTTCTGCCTCTCTGCAAGATTTCTCAAGATCTGCTAAATCAGAGCTACGGGAAGATGGTTTTGACCTTGAGTTCAATAAGGGCCTTCATAACAAAGCTTTTCATGTTTTACAAAGAGATGGTGGTGCATCAAGCTTTTCCAAGGAGAAATCCTTATCAACTCCACCCTCATGGAAGAAATGGATACGATCAGGCTTGATAGGTCTTATCGCCTTTCTCCTATTATTTATTTTGATTTATGTATCCTCAAGGTATTACAATGATTCTTTGTCACATAGAGCGTCAGAGTATTTTGTGATTCTTGACTGTGGAAGTACTGGCACTAGAGTTTATGTTTATGAGTGGTCAATTGTTCAGAGTGTAGACTATAGGAGTTTACCCTTTGTTTTAAGATCTTTACCTGAAGGTCCTGAGAAGAAGTCTACTGGACACAAGGGCCGTGCCTATCAACGGATGGAAACAGAGCCTGGTTTTAGCAAACTAGTACATAATGAATCTGGCTTGAAGGCTGCTGTAAAGCCACTTCTGCAGTGGGCAGAAAAGCAAATACCAAAGCATGCTCACAAGCATACGTCTCTCTTTCTATATGCTACAGCTGGTGTTCGTAGGCTACCAAATTCTGATTCGGAGTGGCTTATGGAGAAGGCATGGTCTATTCTAAAGAAGTCATCCTTTTTGTGTCAGAGAAATTGGGTTAAGGTTATTACAGGAATGGAGGAAGCTTATTATGGATGGATAGCTCTCAACTATCATATGGGTATGTTAAGTTCTTCACCAGCTAAAGAAACATATGGCGCACTAGATATGGGCGGTTCCTCATTGCAAGTGACATTCGAGACGGAAAATCCTATAAATGATGAGACAGGTATAAATTTGAGCATAGGCATGGTCAACCATCATCTGAGTGCATATTCTCTTTCAGGATATGGCCTAAATGATGCATTTGATAAATCAGTGGTTCATCTTCTTAGACGAGGAACAGGCAGCTCAAGTAATGGAAAAGTTGAGCTTAAACATCCATGTCTGCAGACAGGGTATAGAGAAGAATATATATGTTCGCAGTGTGGTACATCAAACCAAGATGGAAGTCCTCTAGTTGGAGGCCGAGCTTCAAGCAATGGAAGACATGGTATGCCTATTGATTTGATTGGTACCCCTCATTGGGAAGATTGTAGTACACTTGCAAAAGCAACAGTCAATCTGTCTGAATGGTCGAACCTCGGTTCTGGAATTGACTGTGAACTAAAACCTTGTGCCCTTGCTGAGAACTTACCTCTACCACGTGGGCAGTTCTATGCCATGTCAGGGTTTTTTGTGGTGTATCGATTTTTCAACTTGACTCCTGATGCTACCCTTGATGATGTTCTAAAGGTGGGTCGTGAATTTTGTGAAAAATCATGGCAAGTTGCAGAGCATAGTGTTGTTCCACAACCCTTCATAGAACAGTACTGCTTTAGAGCACCATATATCGTATCACTGTTAAGAGATGGGTTGCATATGACGGATAGCCAAGTTTTTATTGGATCGGGTAGCACCACTTGGACTTTGGGGGTTGCTTTACTTGAGGCTGGACAGGCATTCTCAAGAAAAATAGAGTTTCCCGACTATAGCATATTGCATGCAAGCACAAATACTGCTGTACTTCTTGTGTTGCTTTTGATGTCGGTTATACTTCTCTGTTGTGCAATATCATATGCTTTCAACTGGACTTCCAAAATTTACAAAAGATCATATCTTCCTCTCTTTAGGCATAACAGTGCAAGCCCTTCCATTTTAAACTTCCAGAGGTGGAGCCCTACAAGTAAGCTTGTTTTCATGAGATACCAATTTAGCCTTACCAATTTTCTATTTAGTATATGCTCTCAAACTGTTTCCTGTGCCTAGATTTTTATTTTATTTTCTATCACATCTATGTTACAACTGAATCTCAACAATCCATGTCCATAATAAGTCTGCCTATTGACAATAATTAAACTCTTTATTGTTGGCTTTTCAAGTTTTTTCCTTTATCTGAATTGGTCCTTCATTGATCTCTGAGGAGAGCAAGTTGTGAGAGGAGGAAAAGAATGGAAAGGGAGCATCTTATAAGGGGAGTACACCCTAAATTCTAATGATATATACATGTTAGTCTGAGCAGAATTAGCCACGGAAGGTAGTTTTACTGGTAAAGGGTGGACAAGGCCCTTCAGTATCTTTATTTGCATTGTTCTTTCCAACAGTTGATGAGCACAACCGTAAGAGATTTTTCATTTTGTAGGAATGGTACGCGTACGCTCTTAAACCCGTTGATTTAATAGATACTTCAAGCCCTGGCTAGATTAAAATGTTTGATTATCTCAGTTTCCCCACAAAATCAAATTACAGTCTACTTGGCATTACACTCCCTTTTCAAAAACCTTCAAAGATAGACTCTACTACTCAGTTCATTAACCAGTCTTTTCTGTTGTTGGAGAGCATCAGTTCTGTTTGTTTGTGCAGCTAGTGATCTCGGGTTGACCATTAAAGCTCTCTGCAAACTAGCTGCTGTCTTATTCACTTAATCTTAGTTCACACTTTAAATATTGTTAAATTTCCTCATAAACACATGGAGTTATCATCAATTGTTCTGTCACCAATTTATCACTTTATATGAATGGTACTCCTTCAGTCATTACCCTTTATTATTGAATAGACCTCAAGCCTTGGCTATTTCTCTGTTTCCCTATAAAACCAAATAACTTACTCTGCATTTAACACTAACCTACTCAAAAACCTTGAAAGTTTGGCTCCAAATCAGCTCTAATCAGTTCATCAGCCAGCGTTCTCTATTGGTTGGAGAGCATTGGTTTTGTTTGTCCGTATATCAACTGCCCTCTGGTTGCTCATTAAAGCTTCTTTGTAAACTAGCTACTCTCTTATTCACTTAGTTCAGGTTCACTATGTATATGGTTAAAATTTTATCACAAATACACAGTGTGAACATCAAAGTTCTTTTTCTCTCTGCTCGATTCTTCTAATACAGAATTTTATTTCGATAGAGTGATATAAAAGCAACATTCAACACAATTTTCTTCTCTTTCGGTTTTCTTTTGTAGGGGACGGAAGAGTTAAGACACCACTCAGTCCTACGATTTCTGACTCTATTCAGCATTCGTTTGGCATGGGAGGCAGCAACATTCAGCTCACGGAGTCTTCCTTAAACCCCTTAGGTTTTGTGCACAGTTTTTCTTCTGGAAGCTTGGGTCAGATGCAGTTTGGAAATGGTCTCCGTGGTCAGACACTTCAGAGCCGTAGATCCCAATCTAGAGAAGACCTTAGTTCTTCCTTGGTGGAAGCTCACATTGGAAAAGTCTAGTATATGTACTCAGATGAAGCCTGGTATGAATCATCAATTTCTTCTGGTAAATTTCACGAAACCCTTTTGGGGGCTTTCAAACAAAATCACCTTCACCTTTAAATTCATAAATCATTGAAAGCGACTTGGAAATTCTCGTAAAATGGCATTAAAGAGAGTAAAAATTCTAAAGTAGTATTTTGACTTTTTTTACCGACACTTACCTGAAAAGCTTAATGTGTAACTTGTATTTAGTAGATAGGTGTAAATTTCAGTTATCATGTGAGTGGCACATGACAAGCTTAAAATAACTGTTGTCAGTCGTGATCCTCAAGTGAGACAAATTCAGGGAGTTTTCTCTAATTTATAAAGGTCAGACAGATTTTATGCAAAAACCCCCAAAGTTCATGGGGGATTTTGTGGAATTTACCTTTTCTAACCAGTTTTATTTTTTGAATTGCATAGAATGAGAATTCAGTAAGTGGAAATTGCTTTTGATATATAATATGTGAACAATGGTTGGCATTACTTTAATATTTATAATTTTGGAGTTCATAGATTTATTTTGAGTGTTCTCTAACAGCAGGTGGGAAATACTAATGACCAAGTTCTGCTGGATGGTGTCAGGCTTCAGAAGATTTTTGATCGTCATGAGATTTCAAGTTCTTTTGATGTCATATAGTTTTGGTTTCTAACATGAACTCTTCAATTGAATTAATTCTCTTGTCCTTTGTTTATTTAAGAGAAAACAGCTTTCTTGATAAGGTTTGCATTCATGTATATATGAATGCTGTCTGTTGGTAGATTGCTGCCATTCTAAAAGCTGATGTAATACAGACTGTTTACAGGTGTGACTACTGGCTTGAACAAGACCAGCCTGAGTCATCAGTTAATATTTTGGGTTAATTTATCATTATCATTAAATTCTGTACTTTGGTCTGGTTTGTTAAATGTTACTCCTTTTCCTTCTCGTTTTATACTGGATTATTCAAATATCATTCTATCTGTGGATTCTTTCTTTACCAGGAGGAATCTTGATGCGTTAGGGCGATGATCTCCTTTTCTGTCTTTCGCCTCTCTAAGAGATGGGCGGGCCAAAGGAGCTCCGTTTTTGGCCTTTTAAAGGATAAAGAATTCGACATTGTTATTTATCCTTGAAAAGATCTACAAGGGTTTGCAGTATTGATCGAAAATTGTTCGTATCACCATTTGACGCACGTTGTGCATCCATATGGTATTCAGCTAAAATTAATATGCTTGATGCTAGGAAATAACATCTCACTAGAAAATTTGATACGTGGAGTGGCAAAAGTTAACTTAGACAGTAATTCAAAGGGGAAAATAAATAAATAAATAGAAAACTTATGATTAACCATTGACATATGCCATCTACTGACAGTTCTCATTCAAAATTACCAAAAGGTGAGAGAATGGCAAGAATCCTACTATCAAGTGTTATTACTTAAAAACAACTATAAATTGTAAATTAGTTTCCTAAGCATTTTAGTGACCTCTATGCAGCTAAATTAGCTTCCGGTGCTCGGAGTACCATGTAATTACTTCCCTGAGGGCTCTCAGAAAAAGAAAAGAAAACAATATCCGAGCCCCAGATCTCTTTCAGAGCAAACTCTATAACGACAATGTGCCCTTGAATTTTGTTTGAGCAAATAGAACATAGTTACTTAAGTGGAGATTGTAGAGCGAATCCATTTCTACGATAAGGTGACCCTGATGGAGCAAGAAGGCCAAGACTCTGCATCACTCGTGTCCTTCTTTCGCTGAGATTCAAGGCGTCATCTCCAGGTGCACCGGTCATGGTCTGAAAAGAACGATGATATGCATTAACGATTAGAAGAAGCATGTGAAACAGAACAAAGGAAATTTAAAAAACCAAGAATTTTGGAGGGTTTTGCACAAAACTATCATATAATTTTTTTTAAACTTAATTTTACAGGAGAACTACCATGATCTTTCAAAATTGTGGAAAAATATTATGAACAGTTAGAAATCGCTGCTGATTGGAAATTCGTGACCTTAGTGACTTGAATAAAGGTCCAATATTCTTATACACATATAGCAATCCACAAAGTATGTCATAGAGCGCTTAATTGGAAATTCATTGCAACCTCCATCTATGCCCCTACAGACTAAGACTAAGCAGGCAGAGAGGTCTGTTGGTGGGAGCTTCATAGAATTAAACTCATGTTCCCCCTCCCTTGGGCCCTATTTGGAGACTTTAATGTCACCCTTTCAGCGGATGAGAGAAGTGGCAGATCTGCCTCCCTCTCAGATATTAACAACTTCCACCAACTCATCAACTCTCTGCTTTTCATTGACCTCCCCCTCAATGGTAAGAAATATACCTGATCCAACATGAGATCCTCCCCTATCCTAGCCAGACTAGACAGATTCCTCATATCCTCAGACTTTGAAACCAAATTCCCTTCCTCCGTGCAGTACTGTCACCCTACCTCATGTTCAGACCACGACTTCCTCATCTTAGATACTACTTGTCTCCCCCCCAAACCCCCTTTCAGGATGGAGAAGACCTGGCTCTCTCATCCAACATTCTCAGCTTTTGTTTCCTCTTGCTGGAATAACTTATCCTGTAAAGGTAACCCCATTCAGTCCTTTCACCTAAAACTCAAAATCCTCAAAAAAAGAATCAAGAGATGGAGGAAAGATATTTTTGGCTCCAGCAACTCCAACAAGTCCACCTATCTTAACACCATCCTTTCCCTCAACATCTTGGAAGAAAGCAGACTACTCCATTCCTCTGAAATCAATCTTAGAATAGCCCTCAGAAATAATCTCTCCTCTCTAGCCAAGCAAGATGAAACCTACTGGAAACAAAGATCTAGAATCCAGTGGCTGCGAGAGGGTGACTCCAATACCTCCTTCCACAAAATAGCCTCTGATCACAGAAGAAAAAACTTCATTCCTCATATCACCTTTAACAACTCCCTTGTCCTCTCTGAGGAAGAGAAAAAACATGCCTTCTTCCATTTCTTCTCAGACCTATTCAAAGATAAACGCATCTCCTCTCTCCAGTTAGATTGGAGCCATTTATACCCTCAGCCTAACACCCACCTACACTCTTTAGACATCCCCTTCTCAGAATCTGAAATCAGAGCTGCAGTCTTTGGCCTTCACCCAGACAAAGCCCCTGGTCCAGATGGCTTCTCCATCCTCTTCTACCAAACCTTCTGGGAAACTCTCAAACCAGACATCCTAGCTTTTTTCAACCACCTCTACTCAGCCTCCACTCATCTACACCACATTAACCGCTCATTCATATCCCTCATTCCCAAAAACTTATCCTCCACTCATGCTTCAGACTTCAGACCCATTAGTCTCCTAAACGGCCTCCTAAAAATTTTCACCAAAGTGTTGGCCAACAGACTCGGCCTTTTTCTCCCGTCATTAATCCACCCTACTCAATCTGCTTTTCAGCATGCTAAATCTCCTATTGACTCCATCATTCTGGGTCATGAGTTGATTAACCAGTGCTTTTCCAAAAAGATCAAGGCCTGTATCATCAAGCTAGACTTTCACAAAGCTTTGATTGTGTTAGCTGGGATTTCCTCATGTCCATCCTTCATTCTAGAGGCTTTGGGCCCAAATGGTGTTCTTGGATCTCCTCCATCCTGATATCTTCTTCCTCGTCTGTCCTGGTTAACGGGTCTCCAACCAACCCTTTCTCCTGTCATAGGGGTCTCAAACAAGGAGACCCCCTCTCCCCTATGTTATTCCTTCTCGTGGCTGATGTCCTGTGCAGGATGCTTCATAACAGTTGTGATCATGGGGATCTCTCTGAACTCCATTTGAAGGGTATGCTCAATGACATCAAGTCCTTGCAGTTTGCAGATGACACAATTGTTTTTTGCAACGCCAATCCCTCAGACATTAGTAATCTCAAATCTATCTTATATCTCTTTGAAATTACCTCTGGTCTATCCATCAACTACTCCAAATCTAACATGTTCTATAGTGGTAAATCAGCTACCAAGAGGCCCCTCCTAGCCAACATCCTCAATTGTGCCTTTGCATCACCTCCTTTCAAGTACCTTGGCCTTCCCATGAAAAGAGGATCCCTCTCTAGGGCTGACTAGCAACCTCTACTTGACAATCTCCACCATAAGCTTTCTATATGGAAAAGTAAACAGCTCTCCATTGGGGGAAGACTGGTTCTTCTCAAATCTGTCCTCCATCCCCCTTTACTACATGTCCTTCTTCAAACTCCCTTGTTGGCTCATCAAGAAGATTGACAAAATCAGATGTGACTTCCTTTGGGGTAGTGCCAACGCTAACTCCAAATCCATCCACCCTGTCAGATGGGATATAGTTTGTACTCCAAAAGCCTGCGGGGGTCTTGGGGGTTCCAACCTTCACTTATTCAACATCTCCCTCCTGACTAAATGGCTTTGGAATTTCCTTGACAACAACAACCATGTAGGCAAAGTCCTCCAGTCTATCTATCAATCCAACCTGCACAACCCCTCTCACGGGTGTCATAGCTCTAGATTCTGGAAAGACGTCACCTCCTGCTACCAATTTTTCTCTGGATCTATCAAATGGGCACTAGGTAAAGGTTCTAGGATTCTCTTCTGGGAAGACAAATGGCTAGGAGACAATTCCCTTGCTAGCTTATTCCCCAAGGCATATCTCCTGGCCTTCTCCAAATTCATTCCAGCAGTGTCCCAAGGGAGATGTTTAGGAGGAAGATGGTCGTGGAGACCAATCCTTAGGCGACCAACTTCTGATATCGACAGAAGCCAAGTGCAAGCTCTCTACCAATTCCTCCATGACTCCAATCTAGCTCCTTCTTCATCTGCTGACATACCTTCGTGGCAACTTTCAGCTTGCAAGTCTTTCACTGTTAGATCCATGTACAGATTCATCATGGATAGAGGTCACCACTACCCATATAATGTTGTTGTATGGAATAAGCTGCTGCCTAGCAAAGTTCAGTTGTTTAGTTGGCTTCTCAGTCTAAACAGATTGAAAACTAAAGACAGATTAGCAGCTCAGGGCTGGCTGGCAGACCCAACCTGCTCCTTCTGTGACTACCATGAGTCTCACGACCACCTTTTCCTCTCATGCAATTTCTCAAAGAAGATCTGGGTCCCATGGCTATCTAAAATTGGTATTGTTTCTCTCCCATCGAGCATCAACCACTGTTTCTCTATCTGTTCAGACAAGTCCATCCACGCATCAGTTCGTCTACTATGGGGCTGTAGTTTTCCCACGGTCTGTTGGGTCATTTGGAAAGCTAGGAATGACTTCATCTTCTCTAATCAGTCTTCCTTACCTCAGCATATCATCAACAAGGCGGTTTACTTTCTTCTTCTCTGGACAGGTGCCTCTTCTTCCAAGAAAACTAGTAAGTTGAACAAGCTCATATTTAGCTCGGGGCTCCCTGATATTGCGGAATCTAGTGCAGACAGCAATGGACTTCTAGGTCCTCAAGTGTAGTGGCCTCTCTGTTAGCAGTTTTCCTTTTGTCTTCCAGATCCAGATCCTAGGGATTTTGATGTAGAGTGGTTATACCATGTTTTGTTTTGTTTTTGCTAGATGTTTTGTCTTGATCTCTTCATGGAGACATCTTTTGGTGATTTGGCTTAATCCCTCTAATTCGGAGTCTCGGGACAAATCACAATCAGATATCTTTTGTATAAACTTTTTATTATTATTATTTATACATGATATGGCAGTCTGCCTTATTTTCATTCGAAAAAAAGTACGTTAGGGTTATATATATATAGAGAGAGAGAGAGAGAGAAATATGGGTATGCTTGGTACCAAACATAAAAAGTTATGCTTGGTAGTGATGTGTCACATCTCCCTCCACTCATTCAAATATGGGACCACATTCGGGTAATGAGTGGATGAGGATGTGACACATCACTACCAAGCACCAAATTTGTGCTTGGTACCAAACATACCCATATTTCTCATATATATATATATATATATGAAGGAAATAAGAGCAAATTTTTCCAGAAAATGTCCATGCAGCAACTTATTCTAGCTGCCGACAAACATGGTATGAGAAAAGGTTGTCAATGTTTTTCTCTAATAAAAAAAAGTTTATGGAAGTCTTGAGCAAAACCCCCTAAATTTCATCATAGTCTTTCGAAAAATACACCAAGAACAATTACACAGAGGAAGATTGAAAATTAGGGGGGGAAAAAACTAAAACCATGGAAATAAAATTGCGACTAAAAATACAAGTTGCAGTCACCTTGGAAGAGCTATCTCCTTTTTCCATTCCCTGCATCTTGTCTTGCTTCCGTTTATTTGTTTTTTTGTCATCCACTGTTGCAGTGTCTGCAAAATAAGTAGTAAATCAGTGCAGATCAATCATTAAATTCATGAACTGCAAAGCCGCAATCAAGCTCCATTTAGTTTATGAAATTTAATACACAATATATAATTAACTAAAGCAATAAAAATATGCCAAATAGAAACATATTCATGATTTCATACTAGATAACATGCACTATGATATAAGGTAATGAGCATAATTTCCTTGAAAGTACGTATCTTAACCTCTTGATTCGGAGGCTTTTCTCTTATACATTCCAGATCTCAGGCGAGAAAGTTCCTATACTCATTCAAGAAAATGTAAGCTTCAGCACTCAAAGAACCTCTACTATGAAAAGACTAGTAGTACCTTATCCACAGACTTTTGAAATGCTTCTCTTCTACTAAGATTTTCTTGCTTCAGCATCTGTAAAGAAAAGTAGCATTAAGTTGACAAAAAGCATGCAAGTGCGAATAAAGCATGTAGCGAGGTGTTTCATTGAACTTACATTCTCAAACTCAGTATTGTTTTTTACCGGGTCAACGTACAAGCTGTATAAAAGATTAAACTGTTAACAAATTATTATGAGATAGAATAATACTCGAACACGCAATAAAAAGAAGTGGTTCAGCAACTTACTACTCGTAACATCCATACATACGAACCAGAACTCCATTTTTTACTCTTTTCTTCGGTCTGGAGCTTACACTTCCCTCATGAACAACCTAAACACAACAAAGGTGCTTCTGAATTAAACTAAAGAATGGGAACATAACTGGTCCTCCCATGCTGTGATCATTACCACAACTATCAAGCCTCGTCCCAACTGTCATCTATAAATAGACTCCATATGTACATTCATGTGAATGCAAATTTACAATAAAATATATAGTTTAAATAGTGATATTATCTCCAAGACACTTTCCAACAAAAAACATTCGCGTTTCTGACACATACATATATTCACCATAAATTATGTAAATGATGAAGCATGTAAGCACCTTTTTAACCAAGAAAAAAACCCAATTGTTTTCTGGATCATTTTTCTAAAAGTGGGTTCTTGGAATAACAGCTAATTCATATTATATGAGCCTCTTTAAATAACTATACATATATTGAGAAGAAATGTGCATATATAGCCATGAAAGCAAGTCTGTATTTGGAACAATTTTGGTGTTTCAGCATCTTGTACTCATGTTGGAACACGATACTCATGTCTGTATCTGTATATCATAGATGCAAATATACATGGCTGCATCATCTTACCTAGGTGGTATCTACATGTGATATCGCTGTAAAAGTTATTTGTCTCAGAATAATTTAATATTTGAGTGACCAAGAAACATATCATATACCATTTAAGGAGTTATATGTAATCACATTTGTTAGAATTTCTGTCACATTCAGTTGTCGTTGCTTGGCTCAACTTCAAAATTTTGCAATTTACAATTGTTGTCATATGTCTTGGTTTTGATGTATCAGGTTCTTTCAACTTGTGTTAGAGGTTGATTGCAATTGCAGTTATAATTTAGACCTCATTTGCAACTTAAAAAGGCCGCAATTGCACCTTTTTCCCAGATCTGCATAAGTTGTCGACTGCAATCAGAGACCATTCTGCAACTGCATTTAACAGTTGCAGTGAAAGTTATAACTGACCAGAGTATCCCACTTGTATGCAACTGCAGGTACAACCCTTGTTGTCATGTGAACCCAATAGCCTATAAAGTATCATTATGTTTTCTGAAAATGTTGATTAAAGCTATTTTAGTTTACAAAATAAATTACTTCTTTTGAGGACATTACACCTGACTTTCAATACTAATTGAGTCCCCTAACCAAGCTGTTTTTCATGTCATTTCCATCTTTAAATCAAAAAGACTTGTTCTATATTAATGATGGATCTAATCTTGATATTTTCTCTCCAATGTAACATAAAAGTTATGGGGAGAAAAAAATAATTAGAAGCATATGAATATATGTGGATCAAAGGATGATGTATTCTCAATGAAAAGATTAAGCAGGTCTATTGAAATCAGCGAGTTTCATGAAAGAGAGCTGGAATTTTGAATGCTCTCCAAATCAATTGCAACATCACTTTCAAGTTTAGGAAACAAGAAGTCCCCATATCTATGCCAATTTGATATAGGTTTTCTGAGTGGAGAATTCAAATATTTAGCCCTTTTTGTTGGATGAATAAATTGAACTAATTTAATGCTCACAATTCTTCATACAAGAAAGAAACTTGATTCTAGAAGAAAACCATGAGGCTCTCTATTGGCGACGATGGAGTAACAATCTGAAACGTTCTTCATTATGTATGTTGGGATGAGGCCCGTGCAAATAAGTAGGTGTATGATCCAAACCAGTCTCCAAGGGGACCTAACCCTAGTAAGGATATGATTTTTGCCTCTTCTTTCCCTGTATAGTAATATGTAGAGGTCAAATAAAGGGGGGAAAAGAAAAAAAAGAAACAGATACATTTTCAATCTAATAGTCATATCTCTTACATCCCACATTCGTGGTTCATGGTTTATTAGTGGGGGTGTCAACAAGAATCTCTCATTATTATACAGTGTAATTATCCTCTGACTGTTAGGAAAGAGTAGTATGCGCCAGAACTACCAATTTAGTATTTTAACATTTGCTACGAAGGCAAGCTACAATAACCTTGTATTTTGCTGAGTAAGAACTATATTTATGTTAGATAGGTCAAGTTATTCATTGATCCTAGATGATAGATCACCTAAAATCAACTACGTGCAAGAATCACACACAATGTGAAGACGTAATATTGATGTGATCCTGGTGACTGCTGCAAAGAGACCACAGAAAACTGTTAGAAAGAAAGAAAACTTAATTGTGCGTTTTATAGTGGAAAGAGGACTATTTTGGTGACAGTCGATAAACTTACACGTACAGGCTTTACGATGAATGGATTATAAAGAAAGACAATTTTCCATCTAAGGAAGCAATGTGTATCACAGTAATAAGGTGTCATAAATATGCAATATACCTGACCAGGCCACCAACAGTTACGAGTTTTTATCCAAGCAATATCCCCAGGTTTGAACTGCTTCACTGACCGGTCATCCCTAGAGATAGTAGCTTCTAGATCATTATGTACACCATTTCCATAAGATCCATTGCTAGCCACCTTCCTCGTCATAATATTTACCAGAATAAACAGAAGCAACCACCTACAACAACCATGCTTGCTTAATGACATTGTAAATATTTTGTTGATTTTCAGAAAGAAAACGTGATGGGAGGAAAGAGGAACAATCTCACAGACAGCAAATACATCATAGGAAGAAGGAATAACAATTGACAAACAAAATATCCGACAAGTCTACAAAAAGTCAATGGCCAGCAAATATACCACTTGTGAAAGTAAAGTCTACTGCATTCAACAATTCAATGGCCAACAAGAACTAGCATGGTGCTATGCCATAAAATGAACTTTGAGAAACAACCAATAAGAGTATGATATGTGTCTGATCGGAAGGTCGGCAATGGCAATAGACTGACTAACTAGGCATCCCCTTGAGCAGCATGGCTGCCCGTCTGTTACTTGTGATCGGTCACTACCAGCTCGCCAAGAGCCAGATCAAATGTCGAAGCCCGAGCCATGATTGGCACCCTGTCCTCAACAGCAAGGTAAGATCAACACTCCCTTAACATGAGGTAGTGAATCCTAACTAACTCAGGTAAGGGCGCAAACGAAATCATCAAGATTTTTCTCCTCCTGCCATCCTAACTACCTCGCCCCGTACCAAAGGGAAACATGGACAACTCGGTTACAAAGGAGGCTTCCCTATTGCTCACTTGGACCAACGAGATGACGCTACATGGACTTCCCTCTCTCCCCAATCTACCCTCCCAAGTTAGTATAAAAGAGGTCAGAATGGTAGGGTAAACCCAAGTCTAATTTCATTCTCAATTTGATTTTATTTCCATCTTCTTCCTCAAGTCATTGTTAAGCATCGGAAGGTCATCAAGACGTCAAGCCTCAGTGCCTTCTAAGTTATAACGTGATTTGCAGGTGGGAATCCACCAAAAACATCTGCCGACCAGGAGAGGAGCCCCTACAACAGTCTCAGCTCCAACAACTTACTCTTCATCAACTGTTTTCTACCCAAAACACATGACACATAAAAATTGTCTATCGAAGACACTATTGAAAAAAAAAGAGCTGCATTCCCGATCTGGGATGCATGTTCCTAATGAGGAACATCAGCTTGAAAATGGTTTTTTGAATAAATGTGAGTCACAAATATAATATTTAGATATTAGTTCCTTACAAGCTAATAATTGGATATAAATTCCTCACAATGTGATACTCATTGGTTTTAAGTCTCTCTAATTAGAAAAATCCAAGAACTGAGAACATTCCATTAAATATAACATAAGCCCAAATATTGGACCTAAATGTATGTCTCTCTTTCCTCATCCTCCCTATCTGCCGAGCATTTTTTCCTCTTTCATTTCTCCTTCATGGAAGTGTGTAAAGTTTTTAAAAGCCTCCACCTAACCTGCCTAGGCATAGACCTAAGCGGTACCTTGGCCACCTATCCAGTGCCTAGTATCTAGGCAGTACCTAGATTGCGCACCTAGGTTTTGGAAGCGCTTAGGAGAGCATGTTCTACCTACATGTACTGCACCCTTTAGAGATTAATCATGCTTTCCTCCATTGCAACCTCTACGTCCTCCAAACTCCAATTATGAGCACCTCCTCTATCTCTCTCAACCTTCAGCAAAACCTCCTCCAGCACCACTTAAGAAATATGTCTAGATGTCAGTCTAGCGCCTGAACTTTCTATAACATTGGCATTTACTATCAGTAATTGTAAAAACTAAAAAGTAAGAAAACGCCTAGTCCCCTCCTAGGCTTCCGCCTAGACGCCTAGGGTCTAGACGCCGAGCCAACGCCTAGCCCTCCTAGCACTTTTTGTAACCTCGGAAGTGTGCCTATATCTCCAGTCCAAATCATACAAATCATCTACGCTATAGCTCCGCTGCTGCTTGGAATGCAAATCCCAACCTAAAATCTCATATAGATGCACAATATGACAATTCACCTGGTCATACCCAAAAACTACTAACCATGAACATTAATTGAGTTATGCATCGATTGGATTTGTAAGAAAATATATGGGTCCTATCAAACAAATTCTGATATTAATCCAGATATAAACAACAAATCCATTTCCATGAGAATGGATTTAATTACAAAATTAGGCTTCTGCTGACAAAATTCCTCCTCATTATCAGGTAAATTGTCTTTTATGTTGAAAACTTCTTCATTGTCTTCCAAGGAGCTGATTTTATCATCATCATTCAGGTCTTCACCATCATCATTGTCTACATATTTGCAATCAAAGCCTTCATCGATATCATCTACGTCTTCTACATCAGTAATGTATAGGACTTCATCATAGTCAAGGACTTACAAAGCAATAGTGAATAAAAGAGATGAGAGTATCATAATAGGTAATTGAGGGGACTTGGGTATTTCAACTGAAATGGGAACCAAATGGATAAATTGGCTTGACTTCTAAAAAGGGAGGTGAATTTGCTAATTAGTTTAGTGAAGATAAAACTAATATATTCAAACCTTTGATGAGTAGAGTATTTGGATGAAGTCGATAACATGGGGACTTCTATGAGTGGACATCACTGTAAAGGACTACTCAATTTTGAATTTATGAATCCCCATAACCCAAATTTGATATTTGCTAGGGACCTACAACCTAAACCCCCTTTGGGATTATAAGACCAATATCCTATGAGCCTAGAAGAAGCCTAAACCTTTAGATAAGGGGGATGAACCAAGATCAAGCCCCTGAGCAACAACTTCAAATGGTTTGGATGCCACAAGATTCAAGAACAACATAAAATGAACCTAAAGAAAATTCTTGATCTGAGTCATCTAACCAACTAAGAGTGTTACCTACAAGGCAAAAAATCAGTCACTCGCGATTTTTGACTTGATGCGTCAGCAACTGACTGTACTAGATTTAGCTATAAAAGAAAAATGTGAGCAACTATCTAATGCCAGACTAGAAATAGTATTTTTTAGCTAATTGGCTAAAATCAAGAAGTACACGGGCTAAGAATAACCAAACTAATGTGCCACCTTTTTGGCAAATTGGCAGCCCAACATCGTAGTTAAAAGTTTCCAAGTAACTCAGGTAACTTCTATCTAAAGCAAATATCATCACGGGTGCAATGTTT